TCTCACTCTTCCTTCCATCAATTTCACATCCTTTTCAGTTCATCATCATCGTGTATCATTGACTTTAGAACTCTTTTTTTTTTTCTTTATCAGACTTGGAAAAAAGTTGTTGAAAGTTCGCATAATTTGTGTAGGTGGGGACCTGATTATGGAAAATTTTCGTTCTTGTTAGTGTGTCCGCGACGGCACATAATTTCGAACAACCATCTGAATTCTCATTTACTCCTCTATACAGGGCATCTGACAATAGGAAAGGTCCTAAAAACAAAAAGAGATATTTATTGTTGGCAAAAGCCCGGCTTGACCCGATAGTTAGGCCCGCTTGGCCCGGCCTACTCTAAGGTTGGGTAAGGCTTGGGCTTAGGATTTGAAACCATCGCCCGGGCATAGGCTAGGGCCTATGCCTGCTAGCCTATGTCCTTATTTTTTTTTAAACTTAATTGATGCACTCCCTAACCTCATTTTATACTTAATCAAAATAATGTAATATGTATGATAAACTAATAAACTTCTTATTTTGTTTACACATGTTATACATTAAGTTAATTTTTTCATGTTGTATAAAATTTTGTAACAAAGAAGCCATATATACACTATATCTTCTAGTGCCCCTTTTTTGTCAAGTTCAAATTCAATGGTTCAATAAAGAATTTGAAAGTGTATTTTGATTTTATTAATTCTAATGACACATATTGCTTTAATTTTCATGATGTCAATCCTAATTTTTTTTAACTTCTTTCAATGGTAAAAGTGTCGGTACAATTTGTGGTTATTCTTTTCTGGTGAAGTGTTCTTGCCCTGATAATTTTTTTCCCTTACTTTTGACTCTGTGGTTGCACAAAAGTCACCTAAAAACTTTGTAGCTCAAATCAAGAAGTTGGTGCTGTGCGGGCCTAAACAGGTATATTATTAATATCAATCTCATTTTCCTCCAAACTACTGATCAATCTATTTCTTTGCATAAATTTACCTTAAATCTTTTGTAGATTGTTGGATCCAAACTCTATGCAACAGTTGATCTAGATAAGGCCAGGGTTGGCCGGACCAGAATGGTAAACGATCCCAACAATCCCAAATGGAGGGAAGAGTTTCACATCTACTGTGCTCATAATATCTCACACCTTATATTCACTGTCAAAAGTAATGATCTGATTGGGGCAACTCTGATTGGAAGAGCTTATATAACTGTTGAAGAAATAATCAAGGGTTTTGGGGTGGACAGATGGGTTGAAATATTAGATGAAGAAGGAAATCCCATCTATGGAAATTCTAGAATTCATGTCAAGTTGCAATTTTCCAGTGTTAAAGATGACTTCCATTGGTCTCTGGGGATTAAAAGTCCCAAGTATGATGGTGTTCCTTGGACATTTTTTAAACAAAGAGAGGGTTGCAGGCAGGGGCGGACGGATTAAGGGACAAAAGGGGTCGCTTGACCCCACGAACTGGCTGGAAAAATGGCTATGGACAGCTTGTGGAGGTCTGAGTAGACCCCATGGCAAGCAGAACGACGACCCCAAGAGATGCACGCAAAGTGCTTGACGGAAGGCCACCGCGACGAAAGGCCACAGAGGTTGTATTGTTTGCTGCTGGTGAGACCCTGAATATTACCTTAGATTGTTGGGATCGATCTCACGATCATGTAGGAGAAAACGGTTCGTCAATCGGAGCCCCACAACCAAAGTTATGAATTTTAGAAGTTTTTAAGAGCTTTTAGAATTGAAGTTGCAGAGCTCTCCGAAGAAGAAGAAGAAGAAAGACACAGCATGTTTGGGTTGTAATCCAGCGCTTCTCATTTTAATTCCTTTTTGAAATGATGCATTAACAAGGCGCCACATGTCAATTTTTAATTGGACTAACATCGTAAATTCATTAAAAAGTCATATGTGCTCTAAAAAATTCATCGAAAATTATCCCAAACTTGTAATCACGTCTACTTTTATGTCGTGACTTCTAAATCACATGTACTTTTGGTTAGATTAATTGTGTAATTGACATGGATTTTGTTCATATTTGATAAGAATTTTGATAGACTAATTGTATAATTGTAAACCTCTTATTTATATTTTTTAAAATTGATATTGTTATATTGTTATATTTTCTTTTTTTTCCTTCTTTCTTTTTTCTTTCTATTTAAGTGGGTTGCCAGCTCGCTATATAATCAACTTAAATCAGTTAAATCCATCATGTAATGCATTTCCTTCCAATTTTTTATGATAAACTAATAGATAATTGCTAAAATAAACATCCTACAAAGTTTCAATAAAAATTTCCAAGTTTTTCTTACAATTTCCGTGGTTTTTATTCAATTTTTATCGATATCGATAATATCCCGATATTTCCATCAAAACCGATATTTCTGATACAATCGATATTTAAGACTTTGGTCTCGAAGAGTATGTTTGGATGAGGTACTTAGACCATCTCCAACCATGGTGTGGAAAAAGAAAATTTAACATTTTAGTCCAAATTCCATCTCTAATGTATTTGGGCAGGTGGAAATTTGAGCCAGGCAATATCTTGGGGTGAATTCCAGTCTGAATATTGCATGGACTGGTAATTTTTGTGGAGCCCAACATGCCAGTATTGAAGGCCACGTGAAGGTAATGCAGAGCAGGTCCCGCGTGAAAGATTTTTGGGCGCCACTCCTCTCCTTCGTTCCAACACATGGAAGGCTCACATCAAAGCCCAACGGCTCCCTTTGAATAGCTTGTTCATGAAAGATTTTTGGGCGCCACTCCTCTCCTTCATTCCAACACATGGAAGGCTCACATCAAAGCCCAATGGCTCCCTTTAAATACCTTGTTCATCTTTTGCTTTTTAAACCAATGATGCATCTTCTTTTTTTTTTTTTATAATTTTTTTTAAAAACAATGTTTTAACCAATTTCCAGCTTGATTTTAATTTTAAGTGAAAAAATATTTTGTTTATTAAATTTCAATTATTTTTGGTTAAAATGTTCAGAAAATTAAATCATTAAGTTTTAAACAAAAATAATATCAATAAAAATTAATCACAAAAAAAAAAAAAAAAGGAGTTGACCATTCTTAAACAATTTAATAAAGTCGCAGACTCAAATTATGAGTTTGCAACATTGGAGGAAAAATAGTTTGAGCACTAAACATACATGAATAGTTGTATTATGGAGGGTAGTTTAGCCCCATGTAAGATGGTCTTAGAGATGGGATTTGGGCTATGTGGAACTTGAAAGTCCCATGTGATCAACCTAACTTGTGTGGTAAAATTTAATGAATGATTTGAGAAATGGCGAGCAACTTTGAAGCCCATGGTAAGTATTATTTCACAAATCCCGACCTTTTATGATGTCGTCTTTAGGCACAAACTTGGCTAGAAGCTTGTGGAATTGGAAGCTAAAATAGATACTATAATTAAAACGTACCAAGAGAAGCTCGTTTAGTTGGTAATATTCACATTTAAATAAGTACTAAGACAAGATAAAACGGATACTATAATTAAAACGTTCTAAATTCTGAAACGAGCACGAAAATCATCTCAATCTAATTCGATGAACAGAGATGAATCATATACAAATACTCACCCCATGTGTCTCTCACAAGAATATCCACATCTTCAATAGTCAACATCTAATCAACTTTCTTATAGTGCTTGTGCACATTTTTGAGAAACCTAAGAAGATCATAGGGGAGCGTAACAACATATGGTGTTTTATTATGACATTTAAATACGTCCACAAAAAATTTATCCTGAAAGTATATGTTTAAGTTCTTGAAAGGTTGAATAAGCACTATATCTATTTTATATATAAAATTTATGGATACATCATAATATATATTACAAGTATACTCTATTCTTCCTTTGGGAGTCTATGTCTAATCAATTTCTTCATAAAGCAAAAGTAGAAGGCTATGCGAAGTGGTTGAATGTCCTTCTCCTACCTATAAGTTCGGATGCGCGCAATTAGTGGTTGCGCTGGCCTTTTTCCTCCAAGCGACAAACCTTTTCAAACAAGAGCCTCGTATATGGGTCAACATGAAGTACCTCTTCTTCTGCCAGCACAACTAGAAGGACGAGGTGCCAAATGGGCGGTGGTGGGTAAGGTTCACAATTTTTGAGTGTTTCTGAATTATAAGACTCCTAATCATCTAAGTTTTAGGGTTCCCAGTCTTCGGAATCACCCATATGTTCTTCAGTATGGAGATATTGTTTCGACATTAAACTAAGATGCGCAACACATGGATCATCAAGATCGACAGGGACACGAACGCTTTTCAGACAAAGTTCAGTAAGACGATCCTGACAATCCTTGTACACCTTGATTAGGGCATGAGGCTTATCCATAGGAGGTGATATCTAGAAGGGGCATGAGGTTGACCCATAAACCCTTGTGGTAGTGATATGTGTCCTACGTTTTAAATTTTGCAGGCTTGGCCTTTGGCAGGCTGTTGCCCCTTCAGAGAAAAATGTCTCTTATGCACATTTGATTGTGATGACGTCCTTGGGACGCACTAAAAAATCAGCGTTATCAGGCTTGGCCTTTGGCAGGCTGTTGCCCCTTTAGAGAAAAATGTCTCTTATGCACATTTAATTGTGATGACGTCCTTGGGACGCACTAAAAAATCAGCGTTATCAAGATGTCAAATTCAATGTTAACTCCGTCAAATGGATCTAGTTTGGTCTCACTTTGTTCAATGCCCATGGAAACAATGGGGGCACTTGGGAATTTAACTTCTCTGGATTCAATGAGAATTCTAACCCCCATATTCCAGTTTCTATTTCTCTACTCAAAAGAAATGTTATTGATTTTCAGAAAATGAAGAATTTTGGGATTTTTGTTGAGAATTTTGTGGTCAGGTTTTTGCATGTCCTTAAAAGGAACAGGGGGCTACATCATCTCAAATGGGTTTGCTTTCATAGGCTTTATAACTTAGCTTATCTTCTTAAACTCCTGACCCAAAATCCTATGTCGGGTTCAGTTGTGATGTTTGTTAAGGCTCTAGAGGTTGTCTTTGGTGACATTTATGATGTCAAGTTCATGGCGCTACTACCCAAGATTATTTTGCGGTGAAATTGTATTGGCAAGGGTGGCTAAGATTCTTGATGTGGAACGTTCTAATGAAGCTCAGCAAGCTGGTTCGTATAGTTTGTTGACTATCAATGTGTTTTCCAAGATGAACACAATGTTTAGGTTTGTGGATGGGATGTCTCAAGGTTGTTTGTATGGAATTACCCCAACAATCGTAAGAGCACCTCTTGTGGTTATTCATGTGCCTTTCTCTTGGGCTTCTCCTCAGCGATATTGGCAACCTCTGCAAGCTCATGTGGTTGAAAGGTTGAATAAGCACTATTATCTATTTTGTACATAAAATTTCTGGAAAAACATCATAATTTATATTACAATTATGCTCCATTCTTCCTTTGGGAGTCTATGTCTAATCAATTTCTTCATAAAGCAAGAGTAGAAGGCTATGTGAAGTGGTTGAATGTCCTTCTCCTGCCTATAAGTTTAGATGCGCGCGTTTAGTGGTTGTGCTGGCCTTCTTCTTCCAAGTGACAAACCTTTTCAAACAAGAGCCTCATATATGGGTCAACATGAGGTAGCTCTTCTTCTACCAACGCAACCAGACGGGGGTGCCGAATGGGCGGTGAAGGGTAAGGTTCACAATCTTCGAGTGTTTCTGAATGATAAGACTCTTAATCCTCTAAGTTACAGGGTTCCCAGTCTTCGAAATCACCCACATGTTCTTCAATAGGGAGATATTGTTTCGATATTGAACTAAGATGCGCGACACGTGGATCATCAAGATCGACAGGGACACGAACGCTTTTCGAACGAAGTTTGGTAAGACGATCATGACAATCATTGTATAACTTGATTAGGGCATGAGGCTTATCAATAGGAGGTGATATCTGGAAGAGGCATGAGGTTGACCCCTACAGAGAAAGGGAAGTGGATGTTTTCCCAAAGTTTCGATGTGGGACTTTGAGAAAAATATTGTGGTAATGATACGTGTCCTACGTTTTAGATTTTATATTCTTGGCCTTTGGCAGGTTGTTGCCCCTTCAGAAAAAAAATGTCTCTTATGTACATTTGATTGCGATGACGTCCCCGAGACGCACTTAAAAATCAAAATTATCAAGATGTCAAATTCAACGTTGATTCCTTCAAGTTGATCCAGTTGGGTCTCACTTTGTCCGATGCCCATGGCAATAATGAGGGCACCTCGGAATTCAACTTTTATGGATTCAATGAGAATTCTAACCCCTATATTCTAGTTTCTATTTCTCTACTCAAAAGAAATGCTCTTGATTTTCAAAAAATGGGGAATTTTGGAAATTCTGTTGAGAATTTTGTGGTCAGGTTTTTGCATGTCCTGAAAATGAACAAGGAGCTGCATCATCTCAAATGGGTTTGCTTTTATGGGCTTTATGACTTGGCTTATCTTCTTAAACTCCTAACCCAAAATCCTATATCGAATTCAGTTGTGATATTTGCTAAGGCTCTATAGGTAGTCCTTGGTGACATTTATGATGTCAAGTTCATGGCGCGCTACTACCTAAGATTGTTTTGCTGTGAAATTGTATTGGCAAGGGTGGCCAAGATTCTTGATGTGGAGCGTTCTAATGAAGCTCATCAAGCTAGTTCGTACAGTTTGTTGACTGCCGATGTGTTTTCTAAGATGAACACAATGTTCAATTTGTGGTTGGGATGTCCCAAGGTTGTTTGTATGGAATTACCCCAACAATCGTAAGAGCACCTTTTGTGGTTATTCATGTGCATTCCTCTTGGTCTTCTCCTCAACAATATTGGCAACCCCTGCAAGCTCATGTGATTGTTGCTCCTATGATCCTCCATCGTTGACCTTGTTTTCATGTTGCATATTCTCCACATGTATTTATTTCCGCTTTATCAGCCTACGACTTTTCTTTAAGAATGTTTGTAGTGTGCCTTGTCTCATGATTAAAGTTTGTCATAATAAGAGTAAATTATTATTATATATTTATCATTGTCTCTTGTAAATTATTAAAATACAAATGTCATGATGACTACTATAAATAAGGGACATTATATATTATTATCAATACACACGACCTCATTTTCTAGGGCTTTATAATTCTTTGTTTATTATCCTTTATGGTATCCAAAGCCTAGTGACTCATGTTTGCTCAAATTTTTTTTCTCTTGCACTTATGGTTTCCTCCTCTAATGTTTCTTCACATATGATTCACACCTCCGTTTCCAATCTCTTGCCCATCAGACTTGATCATACTAATTATCCCTTATGGTTGGCTTAGCTTATAACCATCCTTAAAAGTCGTGGTTTTATGAAGTTTGTCAATGGCACTAGTGAGTGCGTTTTTGAAAGTTACTGATGACCAAGAAAAAACTTCTGAAGTTGTTAATTCTGCCCATGAAGAATTGATTCAAAAGGATCAAATGGTACTTAGTTAGATCAAATGGTACTTCGTTGGATCAACAACTCTTTTCAATCATCTATTTTGGGCACTGTTGTTCACTCCACATTTGCTCGTAACACTTGGTTATCACTTAAGAAATGTTATGCTTCTCTGTCTCACAATCGTATTCTTCGACTCTGTAGTGAATTATTGCGTACTTCTCGTGGTGAACTTTTTACTTCTGATTTCTTAGCCAAGATACGCATGTCTTAGTGACATCATCCACCGTTCATAAGGCCTTGTAGTCGAGGATTGTTCCTCCCTTGACCATAGTCGCTCGAAAATAAGTATGGATCAAGGAGCGCATCCATCACTCAACACCCAGTTAGCACACCCAATGGGAAACTTGTCAAAATACAAAAACTGTGTTCTATACCATCATCTGAGACCTGATTTCAGGCAAAGCGAAAGAAGACTATCAACATGAGTATTGAAATCCCAATTCAATCTTAAGATGCCATGACAAACGGTGTTGTGCTTAACAAGCTGAGGGTAGTACAGTTGCAACTACAGATATCCCAACCGCAACAATCAATTTCATATTCAACCAACCTGATTTTGGTAGGCCAAATTTTTCGGCAGTTTCTTTACGAATGGCCTTTAGTTGAAGTCATCACTCTTGGCCGGTCTACAGAGAATAACTGCCAACATGTGCGAGTTACTTCACAAAAGGCTACCCTTAGTTAGCCGCTAGCCTCGCCAACTGAACAGCATCAACAAGACAAGGGAAAAAGCCAAGAAAGACCACACGACAATGAGAGTAGCCATCATTCAGCCCTTTAGAATCAGCATCTAGGCCGATTCCTGCTAGCTTTCTTCCACACCGAAGGGCATTTTCCTCGACATCATTTGGCTCAGTTCAGTCAATCTCCAAAGACCGAAGGATTTGATCAACATTGGAAGGCCGAGAAACCTGTCGAGAAACTTTAGAAGACCGAATGACCAGTTAAGAAACCTCTAGCAATGGAACCGCAATCACCTCCTTTTTTAGGTATGTAGAAGGCCTATCCTTTTTTTTCTTTTTCTTTTTTAAAGCAAGTTGTCTGTTGCCATGACCACTTGAGCAACCTCTAATGATGGTATCACAACTACCTCCTTTTTTAGGTATGTTGAAGGTCTATCCTATAAAAAGGGCAAGCTATTAGCTCAAGATGCTATATTATATGCTGCCTTAAGTGATTGTTTCACTAGGGGTCAGATTAGCATTTTTCACATTTATGAGAATGGGTATACTAAATTAGAGAGTGAGAATGTGTTGGATGTATACCTAGAAAGCTTTAAATTCCATCAAACGAGGGGTTATAGTGCATTATACTTTGTTGTGCCATCATACGATGTAACTTTAATCAATGACATGTCGATTGAATGATTGTGCAAATTAGGTTGGTAAGTTAATAATAGATTCACTTATTATGTATAAAACCACTTTTACCTAATTTTTTGTATTATTATACATTCTTTAATTTTGTTGCATTGAAAACTTAACATTCTATCATTGGATATGTATGATCATTGACATAGTTTGTTTTAATTTGAATATCTTTTACAATTTTGCAGCGCTTTGTTGTTACCTTTTGGACTCCTACTTCTGAGGGTAATCTTGACGTTTTAATCTTTCATGATTCATCCACGATTGCTTTACGTTGGGTGAAGTCTTATTCAAGTTTGAGATAAGCTGTAGTGTCTAGCCATGTGTTTAGCAGTGCTCACTCACATGGACAATAGTTTTAATTATGTTTTTACCTTTGACATTTATAGCTCACTCCTCACACTTTTTTACGTAAACGTTATGTATTGAGAAGGACATTCAGGCAAGGTGCTTCCTCCCAATTGAGGAGCATTACATGGACATTACTAGTGCCATAAATTCTCCATTTAAACAAGTTATGAAGAAGAGAAGCCATCACTAACGCCTCTCAGTTGTCTGTAATCTTGTAAAGACCTAGATGATCACAAAGGCATCAGTCCATCATAAAGTGAGTACGATTTGAATCATTGAATAGTTGGAGAGCTTTTGCACCCCACTAGATGGAAACTTATGCAAGACATTTTACTTGTGTCACTAACCAATGTGGATCACACTCTTTCCAATTGTTGAATGTGTGAGTCACAGTTAAAACAAAGATCAAGAGACACAGTGGGAGTAGGACCATGACTATTAAAGTCGAAGGAGAAGTCACGAAGAAGAAGGTAAAGAACTCTAAAGGAACCTACTTTCATGACGGGAGGATGGACAATGGAAGGTAAATTTCTTATAGTTAGAACTTCTACTTGGACATTAGATCTACACACTAGTTTGTAAATGTTACAAAGGGACTAGTAAGAAGTAGAAGACTCCTTAAGGAAGAGTAATGCTTCATGTTTGGAACACAACGATGATCTCTATAAAGAGTATTTGGAAGCTGCTTCTTTAAACGTTCTACATTAGATGTATATGAATTAAAATCGTCTTTACATTCCTAAAAGAACTTAATTTCATCTTTAAGATGGACATATTGTTTGGTTTGACAAAACTGCATTATTCTTTATCAACAAGTAATTGGATTGCTATAATCCGATTAATGGCCTCTTTTCATTTAAGAAATGAATGATAGAATGACTGTTTAGAAATGACGATGCCTCAAAGACCCAAAATGTCTAAGAAAGGGATTGACCCTACTAGAAAAGTGACACCTAAAAAGGCTTTTATCTCTTTATAGCATTCACCAATAATCACTCTCTGTTGGACTATGTGTATCTCATAAAACACAAGTTTGAATCCTTTGAAATAATTTTATAACATGTTTACTAATCCGTAATTGGATTATGAGGAATTGAATTGAAGAGGAGTTGAATTTAGGAGAATTAGATTTCAGATTCCTATTGAAGTTGTTTACTAAATCATATGAATTTAGGAGAGTTAGATTTTGTAGGAGTGATGTTAATTACTAAAATAACCTCGTTGTTGGGTTAAAGTAGATGGAAAATTTGGAATTTTTAAAATTGTGTGAGGATATAATGAGTAAACAAGATGAATTCCTAATTGGTTAGTTCTCCATGAATTAGAATACCACCTCCCACCCAAGAATTGAATTCCTCCTAAATCAGGAATCCAATTCCTAATTTTGTGTGGGTCCTACTCACTTTTTAATTCCTTAAGCCCCATTTGGTTCTTGGGAAAGGAGGTTTGTGGATGAGAAATCAATTACTTTCTCCTATTTAAGTCTCATACATGGGAAATGGTTGCTTAGCACATGAGAAAGTAGGGGGAAAGTGAAGCCCTCTTCCTAACCTGGGTTTTGTTTTTCCTCCTCGTGGGAAAGTTTGGGAAAATGAGCCAACATTAAATGCACATTTTTCATGACCATTTTGTCCCCATTAACAATTTAGAATTACAATATATTATTAAATGCCTTTTTTTTTTAAATTTGATTTAATATGGGTATAATTGGAAAATTATACAACTTTTTTTTTCCATTCCTACTCCAAACAAACATGGGAAAGGAAATAAAGTGATATCTCCCAATTACTTTCCCAACATTATTGATAAGCCTATATTTTAGATATATATTATGTCTCCTTTACTTATTTATTTGTTAATTTCCTTGGATTAAATTAGGTGTTTTAATTGGTTTTGTGAGATTAGTGAAGGAATTGTGAAATATGAGAAATTGAGGTAAAAAGGGACAAGAAGATGAAGATTGGAGATTAATTAAAAAGAAGTCAAGTCATTCCTTTTGTCGCAAGGAATGTTGTCAAAATTCCTAGTTTAAGATGGTTCAAGTCTTATCAAGTCAAATAAGGAGAAATAAAGAAGTCCCTATATTAGAAGGAATCCTACTTTTATAATAATTGTAATTATACCTTAGATAGGTAGGATTTCTAGGAGTATAATAAATAGGGAGTTTGGGTCATTGATCCATCATCCTCCATCCTCCATCATCTACCATCAAATTCCTACATATTCATACTCATAGCTGAAACACTCAAAGGAGAATACGAAGAGAGGTTGCGCAACCTTGGCATTCTACTTGGAGAATTCGGTGCCTGCCATGTCTTCATCAACCATCATGATTCTCAATAAGTCCTTCATGAACTAATTTCTTTTACTAGGGCTACGATGTAGCTTAGCTATGAATACTCAAATTCTTTGATATTGTTAATTTTATTTATCTATACATATTGAGTGCTTGTTACCGTTCTTAATGCTTTCAATTAATTGCATGATTGGAAGAATTAGGTTGAGACCGGAAGCTAGTAAATAGCTTCTTGTAACAAGTACCATAAATTACATAGCCGACTCGGAAGATTAGGTTATGGTTTGTGTAATCTTCAATGTTTTCCACAGATCTTAATGGGTTCTTAGCTATCTAAATCCATAACTAGTAATAGAGTGAGTTGATGGTAAGGAATACAACTAATGTAACTCGGAAGAGAGTATTGATGAGGTAAGGGAAAACGATTAACAACATGTTAGGTAATTAGGATTAACAAGCTAGAAGGATTTGGGTGGGATTATCTAGGTGAAATCGATGTCCCAGTGCTTCATTATCTTTGTTTTCATCTTTTACATTATTCACTTAATCTCAATTTATTTTACTTGCTTAATTAGATTTTAATCGTCATAATTCTCTAATTGTTTAATTCAAATATAATTAGAAATAAATCACTATAATATTTAATAGATTAACTTGATCCATGTTGGAACGATACTCTATTTACTACTATACTAATTTGAGCGATATTGTCCATTTTAATCACATCAATTACCAAACGTGGGAAATGAATCTTCCATTTCTCATCCATTGGGAAATGACATGGGAAGTAATTTCCCCTCAAATCCGTTATGTAAACCAAATGGGGCCTTAATGTGAAGTAAACGCAAGACTCCTCCATAGGTGGAATTCAATTCCCGATTCGAATTCCAGCTCCTGATTAGTAAACACACCATTAAAGTATTCAAGAATGTATAAAAGAGAAGCATATTGTCAATAGTATTAAAACCCTTGATTTGATCAAGGAAAAGGAATACTTGAAGATAAAAGTTTCTTTGTTATACTAAAGGAACATGACATCATATTATAATAGAATTCTCCTAAAGATAAATAGAACATTAATTGTTTTGGTTCGTTCCATGATGATTAATTGATATCCTATTAGGATAAGCATGGTTAATGGTAACATACTTGCCAAACCTAGTACCTTCCAAAGAACTTCATAAGATGTAGTTGTAATGAAATTCGACTCTTAATGATCATAAGATTGGAGTCATAGATATCAAAATGGTTGATATGTATAAGAGCTAAATTTATTGAGTATAGGTTTATGGAGTGTCTAAAGAAACCTTATGACATTGCTTCTATCAACCGACAAACAATAGTTGTTTCTCGAAACGCACGCATACACTAATAGAAAAATAGACACTGCATTGTAGTGTCTAAAAATATAGACGCTACAACTAAAATTCTATAGACACTACATGAGAGAAGCATCAAAAGGTAAACTATTTTGAATCATAAACACATATTCGGCCACCCGCACATATACTAACATAAAAATAGACAATCAAATATAGTATTTAAAATATTATAGACATTGCTTGATAGTCCCCAAAAGGTAAATTAATTGCAATCATAAACACTTATTCGCACATGTGCACATACATTAACAAAAAAAAAACATACACTCCAAAATATTATAGATGTTGTGTGACAAACACCAAAAGTAAACTATTTTGAATCATAAACAAATATTCGTGCATGCACACATGCGCTAACAATAAAAATAGACACTGCAACATAGTATGTAAAATATTATACACAATGACATGACAAACCCCCAAATGTAAACTCTTTTGTATCATAAACATCTGACCTCTTGGTAATAAAAAAAATTAAAAATTTTGACCCAAAAAATATATAAAAAATAAAATAAAATAGAAATAGCAATACAAATGAAAAAGACGAGGAAATAATAATATTAAGGGAAATTTACATAAATATCACTTGAACTTTTAGGCATATGTGCCTTTACCACATGAATTTATAATTTATATTTTTAACTACCTAAACTTTGTAGAGTGTTGCAATCACCACCTACGTTTAACTCGGTTAAAATTTCCGTTAAGTGTGAGATCCCACATCGACCAACGGAGAGTGGGTGATGTGCCTTATATGTACACACCCGATAGAAATAGCAATACAAATGAAAAAGACGAGGAAATAATAATATTAAGGGAAATTTACATAAATATCACTTGAACTTTTAGACATATGTGCCTTTACCACTTGAATTTATAATTTATATTTTTAACTACCTAAACTTTGTAGAGTGTTGCAATCACCACCTACGTCTAACTCGGTTAAAATTTCCGTTAAGTGTAAGAGTATTGACGGTAGGGACTAATGGTAGGCTTAGATCAGGCAGGCATTTGGACCCATATTGGACTAGCTTGTCTGTGAGATCCCACATCAACCAACGGAGAGTGGGTGATGTGCCTTATATGTACACACCCGCATCCATATAGCACGAGGCCTTTTGGGAGCTCACTGGCTTCGGAGTCTTAGGAACTCCGAAGTTAAGCGAGTTGGGGGCGAGAGCAATCTTGAGTATAGTTGAGAGACCATTGCTACGAATTACCCTAAAAATAATAATAGTTATTTTCTTTATTCTCTTTCTCCGTTGCTGAGTAAAGCACAGCCAACTTGAACTCCAAATAGGCTGCAACGTTAAACCTAAAGCCATAATTTGGAAACCAAACAAATAAACACAAGTTGAGAGCTTTGAATTACTGGGACGGCCATTTTCAACTCATTTCCTCATCGAAACCCTCAAATCAATGACGAATGACTCTGATTCATCCTCTCTGATTCGCCTCAACATCGGTCAGCTCTCTCTCTCTCTCTCTCTCTCTCTCTCTGTTGTAATCTATCTTAATGTGAATTTGCTGTTTCTTGCAGTATCAAAAAATGTCTTTAAATCGATTCGATTGCTCTGAAATGGAAGTGTAAATCCTAAATTTTAATTTTCTCCCTAGTCTCTGAAAAGAATATATTTTGTTGTTTTGGTGCCTGAGAAAACCAAGCAAAATAAGGAAAATGAATTGAATATTTTGATTCTACGGGATGAGATTGGGAAAAAGTTCGGCCATGTAAGGCAATTAGTGCAACCTTTGAATGGAAGAGCTATGCATATGTGTGTGTATAACTAATTGAAGTTGTAAATAGTTGATGATGTAGATTAATTATTGGACTTAAAACTTTTTGATAGTGTACCTATACTATAGAACTTGAGAATTGGGTACATAATTTGGTATGCTTTTATTGTTTGTCAACAGGAGGAAAGAAGTTTTGCACTACTATTGATACTTTGACTCAGCGTGAGCCGGATTCCATGCTGGCTGCTATGTTCAGTGGTCGCCATACTCTGTGTCAGGACCCCGAAAAGGTATACGCTTCTGCTTGGTTGGAGCAATTTCTGTCTTGCGTTTTCATCGAATGTTAAGTTTGGCATTGTCTCAATTGCCTGACAACAACCCAAGCATATGTTAGATGTGGAGGAATGAAGCTCGGAGAAATTCTATTAAACAATTGTCGCCTGACTAAAAGATGTGGATCAATTTCAGCGTAGTTTGATTTTTAAATCAGTCTATTTAGATTAAACACTGTCCCATTGTTTAATGAAATGGTAAACTTCTGCATCAAATGAAACCAAGGAGCTATTAATATGTCAAGCAAGTTTTTCTTCCTCATGCAGTTTATTAGAAGATTGTTAATTCCTTCATTTGGGAACCTTTTATAAAAACTTCTCAAATCTTTTATATCCTTTTTTATTCTTGCAGGGATATGTATTTCTTGATAGGGATGGCAAACATTTCCGTCACATCCTTAATTGGTTGAGGGATGGTGTTGTTCCCACATTAAAAGATTCGAAATATACAGAAGTTCTTAGGGAGGCTGAATACTATCAACTTCTTGTAAGTGTGGTTTTAATTTTCATTTATTCTTGTTCAGAAGAGTTGGCGATATATTTTGAGTTCATCAGGATTGCACTTTAATTCATGTTGTATACTTGTTTATTCAAATCATGAATTTTTAGTTCCTTCGCATTTAAACTGATAGGAGGTTCAAATAAACTTGAATGCTCACTGTTACAAATGTAAGTGATTTCAGTTTGCTAAAGAATGTTTTGATTCAATATAGATTGAAAAATGTCATAATTTCGGTAATATGGTACTCTAGGCTTGAGAGAGAGCACTACGGAGGAAAATCATATGCATGGATCTCTTTAGAGGGACTTATTCAATGCCCGTAGTGCTATTTCCTACTTGTTTCTAGTCATGTGTGGCCCATGGGAGCAATTGTCGTGGTTGCCAACTTGTCTTTGTATACTGGTCAGTTGGCCTTATTTACTATCCAAGTGAACTCAAATACACAAGTGATGTTATTAATCTTGGTTTCTTATAAGGCGTCATTTTCTAACTACATTTTGTTATGTAAGTGTATATGATATGTAAGGTAATGTTGTCTTGCGATATACAGTCTAGCAACATATGCATCTTAATTGCCAAAGTGTGAATCTGGACTACACATTCAAGCAATGATCAACGTGGTTACTAGTTCAGATTCAGTCTATTAACATAAAATGCTTATAATTCCAGACTGTCGGCAATAAAACAAATCCTTATATTTTGCAACTATACAACCCCAAACCATTTTATGTATTTTTCTCTTCATCTCTAACTAAATTGAAGTAGTGGAGTTTATACCTGTGCTGAGATTCGTGCATCAATCTACTAATAAATTTACACGTAAAAAATTATTGCCATTTCTTTCTCCCATCACAACTAATCCTGCCATATTTAGAAATGGGTGCTGCCTCTTTCTGTTTGATCAGTAATCAACAATGCTATGAACTTATGAAACTGTTTCAGGGGCTGATAGATGGAATACATGCTATCCTAAATAAGAAGAAGGAGGATGAAGAGTTAGATACAGAATTAACACGTACTGATATCATCAAGTGTATACAGTCTGAGAGAGTCAGGTTTCGAGGTGTCAATCTTTCTGGCCTTGACCTTTCAAAATTGGTAATTTCTCAGGTTCTCAGTTCTGAAACATTTCTAGCAGTAGATTTGTGCCTTGTAGGATTCGTTTTCTAGAAATTTGGAAAAACACATTTTAACTGCAAACTACAATAAGCTAGTTTCCGTTTAGAACATGTAGCATCAGCATTACGGGCACGGAATGCGGCACCCTAAAGAGATCCATGCATCTGCATTTTCTCTGCAATGCCCTCTTTCAAGCCTAGTGTACCGTTCCTTTTATAACCAAAATTTTTTACATTTTGAATATATGTTAAGAATGAACAAATTTTCCTTTAAGCATGTTGAAACCACTTACATTCATTGCTAGATTATTTAACCCTTCTATGAATTTAAATTAAAACCAACTGAAGTTTCATGCTTTAATGCACTCGCTAGTGAATAAGAATACCAAGCAGACCACTAGTAGTATCTATTTGGGTCATGATGACAATTGGTATTCACCAAATGTTCTGCACAGCACACAGGAACTGAAGGAATTCAAGTACTTTACTGCAGCTTTTCTACAGTTCATTTGAAGCTGCTCTGGAAAAGCCAGTTCAAACTTAGCCATTTGTGTTACCAAATTGAGGCATATGAGTGCTACTTTCGAAATTGATTCTTTTGTTTAATTAAGAACTTCTTTTGGATGGTAAAAATGCAAGAAAAACTCTGTTTGATACTGTATCTTTGATGTTGTGGTCTTATTTTATCAATGGAATTGCAGGACCTGTCATTTGTCGACTTCAGCTATGCGTGTCTGAGAAATGTCTTTTTCTCACGTGCAAACCTTCATTGTGCTAAGTTCAAGGTAAGTTTAAGTGATAGCTGGTACATCTGGTCTGTTGAGAACAACTACTGTTATTTATACATGCTATATCTTATTAGAAATACCCACTCTATTTTCTGTAAAAGAACATCGACCTGGTTTAGCATCCACGATCCAAAGTTTTAATTGTACACTTGTATTAAAATTAAAGATTTTCTACTGTTTATTTTATTTGGTATATAGGGTTATCATTTCTTTTTATAACATCAGCATGACTATTGAAGCTTTCATATTTTGTCACAGGATGTGGATGCTGAGGGTGCCATTTTTCTCAATGCAACTTTGCGGGAGTATGACATTGAAATTCCACAGCAGTGATATTGATTATATAATATGTATAATATGTTAGTGGGCTGCCTGATTAATGCAATTATCTTTTACCTAGGGAAGATGTGAATTTACTGGGGCAAATCTCCGTGGAGCTTTGTTGGCTGGAGCTAATCTTCAGAGTGCAAATCTACAAGGCAAACTTTTTTCCATTCTGATACAGTTTTAGTAATATTCTATTTGTTAGTTCCATCCTAGTGTTGCCTTAAATTCCTTTGCATGTGTTCTGTTAACATGAACTTAATTTTTTCTTTAATTTTTTTAACTTCTAGTAAGTTTATGAACCTCTCGTTTACCCCTATTAAGATTTCGAATTTTCCTTTTAATCATGTTTTATCCTTTTGCAGATGCATGCTTGATTAATTCTAGCTTTTGCCAGGCAGACCTGCGTTCTGCACACCTACAGGTTCTGCATTTATCAATTTAAATATGTAGCTCACTTATTTTTCAAGTAATTTGTCCTTCTTGGTTTTCCAGAACATCCATTAATAAGATAGTAACTGTTTGTCTGTGAAGCTTCATGCAAGAAAGATGAACTAGTCATCTAACATCATTGAATCTTTACTATGGTGCCGAACATATTTACTTCCATTAATGAGGGCAAAGTTAACTGCATGTCTTATATTCTGTCAGTTGCCTGTATTACTTTGATTCTTTTTTCTTTTTATCCTTAAGAGTCGATTCCCAGTAATGGTTGAGCTTACAAAAGCTTATTTTTCCTACTTCATTCCATTGTCTTTTCTACAGATTTTGTTATCGAAAAAAAAAAACCTCTAAATAAAGTCATGGATTTTAACGAATTAAAGCAAATAGAAATTTAGGCTTAGAATTTTGGCACATGAATGAAATTGCATCCTGCTCTCGCTCTCTGTTAATCGTTATGAATTCAATATTCTTGTATTAGGAGGTTGCCAAATGTTTTCTTTGGTGTGACTTCATTTTTAAAAAAATAAAAAAAAGAGAAGAATTTCCTGATTTTCAAGCTGATCGCACTGCAATTAATCATTCAATCGTTTGTTTGTTGATGAGTGCAAGATGCCTTAGGATTTGGTCCTTAGAGAGGGTAATAATATATTACTTGTTTCTCTTATTTTTTTCAGAATGCTGATCTTACAGATGCCAATTTAGAGGGAGCTATTCTGGAAGGAGCAAATTTGAAGGTAAAGTGGAGGTTATGTGCCAAAAAAAAACACGTAGTCTGAAATATGTCTCTTATGCTTAAGAGATTAAAAGCATTCCTATAAATTGATTTTGAGAGCTCAATTATCCTGTTTGACTTCTAAAGAAGCTTATGAATTGTCATAATTCTAAGTTTTCTGAACCACGTAGCTCCATCGACTTGCTAATACATTGCGACATAAGGGGAGAGGTCTTTGCTCTCCCTTTTTTGGAGGAGAAGAGTACCATTAGAATAGTTTTCATTTTCTACCAAAACAGTTTTGCCTTTTTCTAAAGCTTCGTTTGCTCTGAGATAGTAGAGGGAAGGGGATAGAAATGTAAAAATGATTCTTCCATTCCCTTGTTTGTTTCACCTTTATGGAAGGATCCTTATCTGTGGACCTGCATTTTTCTATCAAACAGTTAATGGGTAGATTGGGGACCCATTATTTGTACTTTGTAATAATCTTTTGCTTCTGATTCCCTTCATATAACCAAACTAGGGAAGGGACATTCAAGAAGAATACCATTTTAGGGATTAGTTCTAATGTTCTACTATTAGACATTTCAGCCTTCTTAGTACTAGGGCAATTAGTTCTCATATTTTAATCTGAGACATTTCAGTTTCTTTCTCTCCTTGAGTTATCTTTCTTGGATACTTCCTAGACGTATTTAGTTATATATCCATTCTTAGCACTAGTGATATAGATAAATCCTACCATTTATTTTCCATAAACAAACCCAAAAAAGTACAGCTGGCCCTGTTGAATTTAATTTTTATTGTTAAATTACTTTGATACCCTATTGAGTGTTTTGGGTTTTTTTATAAATGAGGTTTTGGGTTTGGGCTTGTTTTAAGAAATTGATGGCAGTTTTGTAATTTATAAGAGCTTTGGGTGTGTTTTTAAATGAGCTTTGGGTGTGTTTTTAAAGTCCATTTCATGTAGGGTGTTTTTAATAATTTGGGCCCCTATATTGGGCATAATAGTGGAATTCCCTATTTCCTAACCCAAGCTTCTTTCTTGGCTATTTCCTAACCCAAGCTTCTTTCCTTTCCTCTTCACAACCTGGTTGCCTACCTAGTAATGTGAGGGGGGACATTGAATTACTTTAATATACCTGGGACATTTTCAACCACCAGGAATCCTGAGATTTTTCAATTCCTGGGATCCCTAACAGTGAAGGTTGGATAATTTTATGGTGAATTAGTCTTTCATGCTTCAGTGAACATAATAAATGTCGGCAGTGAAGCTCTAGTGCTAGATAGAGAACATAATAATACCAACATGTTTATCATATTAGATTTGACGTCAAATCTATGGTGCTTTTGGGAAAATGTCTGGTGATTGTACTAGGTAGTCATTAAAGGTGAGTGGTGAAGGTATAAAAAGAAAAGCAATGTAAGATATCCATTGAATTATTTTCTACTTTGGATTCGGCATTCTGAATATCTTGACATTGGACTAGGTAGTCATTGGAGGTGAATGGTGAAGGTATAACAAGAAATGCAATGTAAAATTTGTCGTGCTTTTTCTTTAATGCTGCATTCTGAATATTTTGACATTGGAGAGGAAACAGTTTTTTGTTTATTGACGCTGCATGTGCAGTAAGAGTCACTTTTTTGTTACATATTCTTTTGCTTAATATGTACCAGATTGAAATTATTATTTTTTCCTACATGTTGTAGGCAACAGGTTTTGTTTTATTGATGTTGCATGAGTAGGAAGAGTCAGTTAACAATTTGATGCTGCATGTCTCTTGCTTAGAAGTTGTGCTAGATTTATTCCTCGATGTTTCTGTGAGATGGACTTATCATTAATAAATGGTTCATGAGTAATATATCATTAAGTGCAATTTAAATTAATTAGGGAGTGTACATGGGGCAGGGGCAGGTACAAGTGGCGAACAAAGACAAGTTAAAACGAAATATTTAAGAAATGGCTCAATTGAAAAAATGTATTCATGTGGCTGACATAAAATAAATTGAGTTCACATATTGAAATATGTTTATGGCATCTATCTTTTAGTTTACGGAGCCAACTTTTGTTCATGTTCTTCCTCCCTATATTTATATATCATATTTGTGTATAATTGCATGCGAGAGGCACACATTTCTTATACTTTATTTGATTTAATGTTGAAAGAACACACTCAGCATGATTTTTTGAAACATTAATTCCGTGATTAAGAATGTTCATATATATGACAATCATATAAGCTGGTATAAGAGGTTGTTATGGAGAAATACCCCATGTTTACCCAAAATGAATATCAAAGAAAAAAATCTGTAGTTTCATCTTGTATCACATTATGTTGCATAAATGAATCTTAAAAGAATATGCTCCCTACTGCTCTCATATTTGATTTATTTGGCTGAATTGTTTGCGTGCTAGGGTGCCAAGTTGAGCAATACCAATTTGAAGGATGCAAACCTTCAACGAGCTTATTTACGGCAAGTGAATCTTCGAGATACGGTAATGAAAGCTGATCGGCATTCTGTGACCTTTCTTTTGGTTATTTTTTTCAAAACCAAGAAATAGATTGATCAGGTTACTAAACATAAACAATGTTGCATTCCAAGTTTAGTATTTACTTTCCTCTCTTGAATTTCATTAGGGGTGCTTGAAACAATGTTGCATTCCAAGTTTAGTATTTACTTTCCTCTCTTGAATTTCATTAGGGGTGCTTGAAACAATGTTGCATTCCAAGTTTAGTATTTACTTTCCTCTCTTGAATTTCATTAGGGGTGCTTGAAACAATGTTGCATTCCAAGTTTAGTATTTACTTTCCTCTCTTGAATTTCATTAGGGGTGCTTGAAACAATGTTGCATTCCAAGTTTAGTATTTACTTTCCTCTCTTGAATTTCATTAGGGGTGCTTGAAACAATGTTGCATTCCAAGTTTAGTATTTACTTTCCTCTCTTGAATTTCATTAGGGGTGCTTGAAACAATGTTGCATTCCAAGTTTAGTATTTACTTTCCTCTCTTGAATTTCATTAGGGGTGCTTGAAACAATGTTGCATTCCAAGTTTAGTATTTACTTTCCTCTCTTGAATTTCATTAGGGGTGCTTGAAACAATGTTGCATTCCAAGTTTAGTATTTACTTTCCTCTCTTGAATTTCATTAGGGGTGCTTGAAACAATGTTGCATTCCAAGTTTAGTATTTACTTTCCTCTCTTGAATTTCATTAGGGGTGCTTGGGCTTATAGCTTTCCTTTTGTTCGTCTCAACTCTCAAATTGTAGTATTTTTTTACATGTGCATAATCTAAAGGTCCATTGTAGCATTGAGAAGGTCAAGATCTTTTCTTGATAACTTAGTTGATAGTTGTATCTTTCAAGGCAAGAAATTGAGGATGTGACTGTTCTTTTTATGTTTTGAACAGCATTTGGAAGGTGCAAAGCTTTTCGGTGCCAATTTAAACGGAGCAATGAGATGACACTGAGTGTTGCTATTGTAGATCCTGTGGAGGTTTGTAATTCTGTTTGTGTATAACCCGTCTGCCAAGATTCCCATTGTCCAATTTCTGGGTTGAGGCAACCACCCTAGTAATCAAATGATGTGGTTTGTACATAAATCTTATACCCAAATTCAATTCATTTGGTGATAAATGTCTAGTAGTTGATAAAGATGAAAGGGTAAATTATGACAACGGTCACTGAATCTGTACCCGATCTTCACTTTCGTCCTACAATACAGTTCTTGGAATTTAACTGTGGTCCTCGTACTTTTACGTGTGCATCTCTTTCCAATTATTAATTCCTTCACATTTTGTTAATTAAAGGGGTAAATTAGTAATTCTACCTTGCATCAATAACAAATTAGAATAAAAAGTATAAAACAAGATTTAAGAGTAAAAAATCAAGGAAAAAAAAACCTTAAATAAGTGGAAATTTTGCCCATGCTTCCCCGCACATCTGGACCGCATCTACATGATCACCCACTGCTCTACATATCTCCCATACTCTGCACCACAGGCACCGTAAAATTTCACCGACACCTCAATAATTGTATTGGGGGCCCAAAGTCAAACTTAGATTCAAGTTCAAGGATCATCACCATAATTATTTCACTTTTTACTTTTTATTTTACTTTTTAATTGAGAAATAAAATTATTAATTTACACTTCAAATCAATAGAAAGGTTAACATAATTTGACACAATGATAATCAATGCATCACTTCTGCTCGCTTAATTCTGTGTGTCCTTTTTTATTTATTTATAGAAAATATGATATTGCATTGGTAAGAATTAGCATATTATCGGAAGCCTGGTTAAAACATTCTTAGAGAAAAACAGAACATCGTGAGAAGAAAGAGTATCACTCATGTTATTGACTAAACATAAGAGTCAAACAAGAAAGAGATAAAATTACTGTGTCTTTTATCCTTGTTATTGTCGTTAAAAAGATAAAATTACTGGGTCTGTATCTAGAACAAGAAAGAAAATAAAAACCTTTCACTTTCATTGAAGATAAGATAGGATAAGGATATCTGAAAAAGTTTGATGATAAAGACAGCATTGACACATTGGGCCAAAGTGATGGTTACATAGAGTTATAATGTTTCTTGGAACAGGATAAGGCTACTCGTAATGTCGGCAAGTTATTCACCGTACACGTGTCAAGTACTAGAACATAGACTTAAATGACTTGGTCGAAATCATGAGATTAACGCTATTGGTGGGTGGACGCAAGTCTCAGTAGCGTTATGTATGGATCGTTGTTGAAAGTTTTCATAGCAGATTGTCAGAAAGATTCTTGCTTATCCAAAATCTTTTTGTAGGGCTTTTGCTTTTCCCAATCTACGATTCTTTTTCACCTTCAAATAGTTTTATGCTAAACTATGTTCCCGTTGTATTTAATTATTATTATTTCAATGTGAATTCTAATTACCAAATGCCAAATTCAAAACATGTGACTTACAAGTCTCAAAATGACATGTGTAAACATAACGTAAGGCACATTATATTTCAAAGATAATGTCAGTCATTTTCAGATATTAAATAGCGTTTGTTTATGTATTCTAAAAAGGACGGGAACATAGAAAATAAAAAGTTTCAATATTTGGAGCAAGATTAGACAAGTTAATAAGTTAGAATTAAGATAGGTTAATAGCTCGATTCCTTCGTACACGAGAAAACCTCCGACGGACATACCAGATTAATAGCTTGTTGCATATTAGTCATTTTGTTTAAATGATTCTTCGTTAAGCTATGGCGTTGACACCCTATAGGCTATACTCACGGCCAAGAGTCAAATACCTAATTGGCACAAAACATGGCCAACGGGGAACAAAAAGAATAGTCATATAGTCATTATATATAATTAATTTAAGGTAAGACGATCTTACCGACATCCGAAAGATGTGGCATATCGAGTGATGGAGACTGAGAGTAGACTCAGACAAACCACTTCTTTTCTCTTACCTTAATATCGCATTTGCAAGCGTTGTATGGAGCTTATTGGCTGTGGGCATTTTTGTAATTTCTGTCACACCAGTTACACCGCCCTAAACTCAAATTGGATAAAAGCGATTCTGCGAATGCCTTGAGAAAAAACATTTGGAAGTGATCCCTAGATAAGCACTCTAGGTGCTTCTACAAAGGCAATTTTTTCAAATTCTTCTTTGTTGTACCAAATAAGCCCCTATAATAAAAAATAAAATAAAATAAAAGGAAAATGAAAGGTGTTGTGTGTTTCCCCTATAAAAAGGCATCTTCACGTTACTCCCTTCACAAAAGATCAAAATCCATTTATATTTTCTAGAGAGAGAGAGAGAGAGGGAGAGTAACAATGGCAGGAATTGTTCACAAGATTGGAGACGCCCTCCACATAGGAGGAGGAGGAGGTAACGAGCACAAGAAAGACGAGGAGTACAAGAAGGAAGGTGAGCACCACAAGGACAAGAAAGACGAACACCACAAGGACAAGAAAGACGACCACAAGAAAGACGGCGATCACAAAGACAAAGACAAAGACGACAAGAAGAAGAAGAAGAAGAAGGACAAGAAGAAGGATGGCCATGACAGCAGCAGCAGCGACAGCGACTAATCTATAATATTCTGGTAAACCATCATCTTCCTCTGCATTTTGTTTCATTAACTTTTGATGATCTGATGTATGTGCAGAAATATTTATTTTATAATTTTAATAAGTTATTTTTGCATCTATCTGATTGTGATTTGTTTTTAAGCTAAAGTGCAATACAGAGCTATGGTTAAATTATTCTAGATTAAATAAATATACGGGATAGGGTTTATGCTATGTCTTAATATTGAGATCTATGATGTAGACACGGACTTAGTCAAGTTGGCTAGAGCAGATGTGCTTCTGCATTCAAGTTCGCATCACCCTCCGCGTTATTTAGATTAGATTAGAGTAAATATGTTTAATTAAGAACAACACGGCTGTGGAGGATCTGGATTCTCAAATACCAAGATGACAAATAATGAAAATATTGTGTGAAATGAATTTGATTTTCTTTGTCGTTGCTTAATGAATCTGTTAATCTCTACCTAATTATAGTTGTGTTTTTTTTAATTTGCCTTGTAGGTGTTTGGGGCGTCATGAGATGAGAACACGCTCAACTCCTATTTCCTTTCCGTTTACGGCCCAACATTATATTTTGCATTTCAAGAAAAGAAAAGGCTTGTTCCGCAGCCCAACCCCGAAAAAAGAGAAGAAACAAAGAAGTCGTTTTTAATGTTTATCTGCTGAATGCTGTTGCTTAGTAGTAGCTATATATGTAAAATGTTTCTACGCAGGCACTGAATATAAATGTGAAACCTCTGACCGACTTTCATATGAATAAGGATAAATGCTTAATATTATCTCTGTCTTAGTATTCAAGTGGTTTGTTGTTTATATCTTATGCTTGTTTTGTCTCAATTAACAGCATCCCCCCATCGAAATGCACCTAAATTAATGGCTTAATTGCTACAGTGCATCTTGAAATATTTGTCAATTCTCACTTTACCCCCTTAAAGTTAAAGTGACTCATTTTGACTCCTTGATAAAGGTTTGATGTTCCATAATGACCTCTACTGTCAATCCCATTCAAAAGTCTGTTAAGTTTGATGACGTGGTAGGGGTGTTTTAGTAATTTTGTGCACCTAGGTTTTTTATTCACAAATTTGAGTGGGTAATGTGGCAAAGTGGAGTCCATCTCCAGTATGGATAAAAAAATTAATAAAAAACTAAGTACTTTAAAAAATTAAAATACGAACATAACATTTAAAACTTTAAAAAATTGAACTCCTCTCTCTCTCTCTCTCTCTCTGTTTAGAATTTCCATCAAAATGAGGATTGGGTGGTTTGCAGTGAAGGAATTACGTTAGAGGAGAAGCTGCTGTATGTGAGAGTTGGAGGAAATTAATCCACCAAAATTAATGTAGATTTCATATCCATATGCAAATTACAGGAGTGAAATTCTGTAGAATGAAAGAAATTATAATCCACTTTGTTGAGCCTTGAGATGGCAAAATTTTTAGGACATAAAAACAAGTGTTCTGCAAATTTTTCTTAAGCTCATTCAACCATTGCAAAATAGAGGCACCACGTCTTGTGTTCGTACCACTTTGCAAAACCCAAGGGAAGGTGTCGTATAGTAGTGTAGCTCGGAAGTTCGAGTGTCGTATCCACAGAGAGCGGTGTAAAGATAACAGAGGTGAAAAAGAACGATTATGATTGAAAAGTAGATTTATGATTGAAAAGTAGATTTATGCAAGATTTGATTTCAAGAAAATTCAATTGAAGGCATTGGGTAAAGATAACAGAGGTGAAAAAGAACGATTATGATTGAAAAGTAGATTTATGCAAGATTTGATTTCAAGAAAATTCAATTGAAGGCATTGGATTTCCACTTTTAACATAAGCATGCAACTCTTAATAATTTGATCCACAAAATATTTTCCATTGTAGTTTAAAATAATTAAAGCTCTTTTTAATTTCCTTTAGAAGTATTCTAAGCATAACTTGTATAATTGGCAACAAACTATCAAAAAATAATCTTCATCAAAATTCTATTAATCTTTAGTAATTCTCTTCTCTTTTAAAAGCATGAAAGTTTTTACTACACAATGGGAAAAACATGATTGAACCCATGAAATAGATTATCAAACATTCATCAATTAATTACAAAGAAAACTACAAATTCCATTTGAACAAAAACTAAAAATTCACATTAAAGCTTAAGTTTGGATCAAACTAATGAAAATTACACACTTATATTAAAAGCTTTCTCCCTAGTCTTAGCTAGGGAGTTAGTTTCCCATAATAAAATAAAACTAAAAACAGAAATTAAAACTCAGAAAGATGGAGGGAAGAGAGAAAGCTCAAGAGTTGTGGAGCTTGGGTGTGTTTGAAGGCTTGTAGAGCTTCCTATTTATAGCCTTAAATCTCAACAACAACAATCACTAGGGAAATATTAAAATCTGAAATTCTTATCCCTTTCAATGCAAAACCGTAACCCATCTCTTCATTGTTTCTTCTTTGGCATGGGTGCCATCCTTCTTTCTTTTCTTTATGTTTCTCTGCTCATTACTTGTAGGCATATTGGCATTTGAATTTCATATCTTGTGTCAGCCAACAACATGCTTTATACTTCTTTTGCTGTGGTAAATCATGTGACTTTGCTACTGCACACATGGTTGCTGTCCAAAGTTGCTGACTGCTATCTTTTTGGTTGGCTGCAACCATTCCTTTAGGTTGTTGGAAAAAAGAATTCTTCTTGAACCAGGCTTGGTGTAAGAAGGCCACAGGTTTTAATATGTATCCAATGGAGCTCAAATTTGGATATGTTATAATAGACACACATTGGACCAACTTTCATGAAGACTGTATTCTCATATGAGCAGTAAAAACGTGCGTTTTGGGGCTTGCAAGTTGGCCTCCGAAAATGGACTGGAGTTTGGGCTTCATTTCTTCTCTCCTTGGGCTGCTTGCAAAGAGAGAGCTACCTAATAGAAAATTCAACTGAATTAGCCTTTATTTCAATGAAGTGCAAATGGATTTGTAAAATGCAATGTAACATTCTAATTGGTTCAAAATTCATTGAAACAAAGTACTAAAGTATTAACAAATATAGATTAGGGAGAGGGGTGGGTTGCAGGTTGGGGGGAGGGGGGG